AAAATAATAATAATAATCCATGGACCATATCCTCAGCTGTTGCAAGAAAATTGCACAGACAGACTACAAACAGAGGCACAACTCTGTGGCCCAGATGATTCACTGGAACTTATGTCACAAGGAACACTCGCCAGCAGTAAAGAATTGGTGAGATCATAAGCTTGCAAAGGTCGTGGAAAGTGAACATGCAAAAATCCTGTGGGACTTTTGAATCCAGCCTGACCAAGTTTTGGAACACAATGCACCAGACATCACGATTGTGGAAAAGAAAAAAGTCTGGATTATGGATGTCGCCATTCCAGGTGAGAGTCGCATTGAGGAAAAACAACAGGAAAAACTCAGCCGCTATCAAGACCTCAAAATCGAATGGCAAAGGCTCTGGCATCAACCAGTCCAGGTGGTCCCAGTGGTGATGGGCACACTGGGTGCCATGCAAAAAGATCTCAGCCGGCATTTGGAAACAATAAACATGGGCAAAATCATTATCTATCAACTGCAAAAGGCCACCTTACTTGGATCTGCATGCAACATCTGAAAATACATCACACAGTCCTAGACGCTGGGGAAATGTTCAACTTGTGATTTTGTGATACGAAATCCAGCACAGAGATCTCGTTTGCTGTGACATACTGTGCTTTTGCGTCAGCAAAATTCTACTACTACTAATAATAATAATGCATTCTAATACTAATAATAGACATATAGCTACCTTGTGGAGGAAAAAAGCAAGATATAATAAATAAATAAAAACGTAATGTTCATCTGTGGGATTAACATAACTCAAAAACCACTGGGGGAATTGACACCAAATTTTGACACAAGATGCCTAACAATCCAATGTATGTTTTTCACTCAAAAATAATTTGATTTTGTCAATTGGGAGTTGTAGTTGCTGGGATTTATAGTTCACTTAAAATCAAAGAGCATTCTGACACCCCACCATTGATGGAATGGAACCAAACTTGGCACACAGTTCTGCCATGACCAACAGAAAATACTGGAAGGGTTTGGCTTTGGTTTTGGAGTAGTACTTCACCTACATCCAAAGATCACTGTGGACTCAAACAATGATGGATCTAGACCAAACTCTACACGAATACTCAATATGCCCAAATGTGAACACTGGTGGAGTTTGGGGAAAATAGAATCTTGACATTTGGGAGTTGTAGTTGCTGGGATTTATAGTTCACCTACAATCACAGAGCATTCTGTGAACCCCACCAATGATAGGATTGTGCAATTTAAACAGTAGTTTATGGATGGTAAGTATGAAGGAATATATTTTGTTGGAGATGGTGGCTTGGCGTTAGCTGGGTTGCCATAGCAACAGGGGCGGAGCCAACTGCCTCTTCATGGGGCAGCTGTTTTGAAAGTCAGTCAGTAAGCCGGTGAGCTACTGGGAAGACTGAGTCTCTGGGTGGAGATTCAGGGAATTAATTGGTGACCAAAGGGGTTACAGAAAAGGACCCGGTAGTGATAAAACTACAGGGGGTTATTGATTCTGAGTTAAGAATCAAGGTTTGGCTGGGAGCCAATTCTGTTAATAAGCCTTTTAGCTTATTTGTTTTATTAGGACAGTTGTCCAGAAGAGTTACATCTGCTTATAGAAACCTCTTGAAGTCTGTGCCTGAGATTACTCATGAAACCTTACTAATGTAACCAGTCAAGATTTGTGCCTCTTGTGAAGAAACAGTTAAACATGTTATACTCCTGTTTAAAATAAACTTGTTACTGTTTTCCTCAAGCCTTGCCTGATACAGTTTCTCTCAAGGCAAACAGCCTACATAAGAAGTAAGGTCAAGCCAGGGACAGTGGGCGCTACGCTATCAAATGAATAAAGCCTTCTGTAATTAATAGTCCCTTTATAAAATAGCTCCTAAGGCGATATTGATCGTTGCCCAGCTTTCCTCACACATTAGGTGGCAGTAAGCCTTAACCACGCTCCTTCACAAATTGGTGGCATTCGGTGGCATTAAAACGGTCTTCTTCACAATTCTGAACCCCATCAACGATAGAATTGGGCCAAACCTTTCACCCAGAACCCTCATGTGGGCCACAGCAACACGTGGCAGGAGACGGTTAGTATAACAATAATAATTAGAGATCTCGTTTGCTGTGACATATTGTGCTTTTGTGTCAGTAAAATACTACTACTACTACTACTACTAATAATAATAATAATAATAATAATAATAATAATAATGCATTCTAATACTAACAATAGAAACATAGCTACCTTGGGGAGGGAAAAAGCAAGATATAAATAAATCTATATAAATAAAAATGTAATGTTTGTTTGTGGGATTAACAGAACTCAAAAACCACTGGACGAATTGACACCAAATTTGGACACAAGATGCCTAACAATCCAATGTATGTCTTTCACTCAAAATAATTTGATTTTGTCAATTGGGAGTTGTAGTTACTGGGATTTATAGTTCATTTAAAATCAAAGAGCATTCTGAACCCCACCATTGATGGAATGGAACCAAACTTGGCACACAGTTCTGCCATGACCAACAGAAAATACTGGAAGGGTTTGGTGGGCAGTGTCCTTTGGTTTTGGAGTTGTAGTTCACCTACATCCAAAGATCACTGTGGACTCAAACAATGATGGATCTGGACCAAACTCTACAACAGGGGTCCTCAAACTAAGGCCCGGGGGCCGGATGCGGCCCTCCAAGGTCATTTACCCGGCCCTTGCTTAGGGTCAACCTAAGTCTGAAACTACTTGAAAGCACACAACAACAACAACAACAACAACAACAACAACAATCATCAGCCAAAAGCAGGCCCACACATCTCACTGAAATACTAATAAGTTTATATTTGTTAAAATTGTTCTTCATTTTAATTAGTGTATTGTTTTTAGGTGCTTTTGCACTACAAATAAGATATGTGCAGTGTGCATTCATGTTTTTTTTCACATTATAATCCGGCCCTCCAACAGTTTTGGGGACTATGACCTGGCCCTCTGTTTAAAAAGTTTGAGGACCCCTGCTCTACATGAATACTCAATATGTCCAAATGTGAACACTGGTGGAGTTTGGGGAAAATAGAATCTTGACATTTGAGAGTTGTAGTTGCTGGGATTTGTAGTTCACCTACAATCACAGAGCATTCTTAACCCCACCAACGATAGAATTGGGCCAAACCTCCCACACAGAACCCTCATGTGGGCCACAGCAACTCGTGGCAGGGGACGGTTAGAATAATAATAATAATAATAATAATAATAATAATAATAATATAATGTGGTTTTCTGGCATTGCCTATTTCTGCCGCTTCTGTGATTGTTTATTTGCATTTTGATTCTGTAGCCCACTTGTTGATGGATGTTCAGAATCAGCAGCATCCACTATGGTCCTTTTTTCCTGGGTGTTGACCGAGCCAGGATAGACTTTGTTTTGGATTATTTTTCCATAATGCTAATGGATTAGGTGCTCTTGGTTCCACTCCTCACGGGAGAGGAGGTGGTTAGTGGGCCTGAGTGTGAGGTAGGCTTTGTATGTGAAGCTCCAATGTGAAGGTTGAACTTAATTTGTGTTATGGAAACCTTGTTCTTCCAAATACTGCAACCATATTATTTGGCTTTACAGAAAAGCCTCCAATGGAAGAGATAACCTTGGTCTGTGTGTTTGTGTTCTTTCTATCACTTTGCGCGACTGGTGTTGGGTTACGCTGCTGTTGATAAGTTACTGTGCTATGAGGAGGGTCTTTTAGTAATAAGCCCACTCACCCAACAGATACCCTCGCTGATTGACTTTGCAAACTTCATGGCTACTCAATGCTAAACAAACTTGCTAAATTGCAACATTCAGACAAGGAATCTTTCTCCCACCCTGGACATTTTTCCACTGGGTTATATACTGTGTTTACTCAAGTATAAGCCTAGTTTTTCAGCGCCTTTTTTAGGCTGAAAAAGCTCCCTTCGGCTTATACACAAGTCAAGGTTATTTATTCTTTTACTCTGTTATTAGTATTATTTTATTACATTTATTATTTTACTCTATTATGATTATATTTACATTATTTTGCTCTGTTATTATTATTCCTTTTGCAGTATTTTACCCTGTTATTATTATTACATTTATTATTTTAATCTATTTATTATTATTATTATTACATTTACAGTATTTTACCCTATTATTATTACTACATTTATTATTTTAATCTATTATTATTATTATTATTATTATTACATTTACAGTATTTTACCCTTTATTACTACATTTATTATTTTAATCTATTATTATTATTATTATTATTATTATTATTATTATTATTATTTCCTTTACAGTATTTTACCCTGTTATTACTACATTTATTATTTTACTCTATAATTACTGTGTTTATTGCATTTTCATTATTTTACGCTATTATTTTTTATTATTTCAATAATAAGTACGTTTACATTGAAGGAGGTTAGAATAATGGTTTAATAAGAGTTGGACAGTCTTATCTTAAATTACAGTTTTATGTAAATATTCAGAAACATTTAGCCTATTGATGCCTCAATTAATGTAATTTTATTGGTATCTATTTTTATTTTGAAATTGACCCACAGTGGATGCATTTCCCACCCTTGGCTTATACTCGAGTCAATGCGTTTTCCCAGTTTTGTGTGATAAAATTACGTGCCTCGGCTTATATTCAGGTCGTCTTATACTCGAGTATATACGGTACACTCAATTTGTTTGACTCATACCAGTTCCTATGAAGCTGCCATTAGCCACAGATACAGGCAAAGATTCAGGAGAGAATGCTGCTGGAACACGGCTAGGCTGCTTGGAAAACTCACAACAACCCAGGCTGTGATGTATCTACTAAAACGTTGGATGCAACAACACGGAACCCGTATTCCAGGCAACTCAAAGGCTGACTTTGTTATGAGCCTTGTTTACTTAATGTTGGATGCCAAAGCGTACCGGGAGCTCCCTTGCGTTGCAGAGCATTCTCTTCCAAAAAGGGAAAGGAAAGGAAGGCAAGGAGGGACTCACCCACACACAGGATGTTGAAGCAGAAGCCGTGGCCAACGGATTTGTTCACCAGCTGGTCCGGCAAGCTGTCGAACCCGACGTGGCCAGAAAGAGGAACGGTGCGGCATCCTTCACCCTGGAAAGGGTTTAAAAATAAAGGCGTGTTCAGATTTACCCTCCAAATAAACAAAACAGAAAATCTATTTTGAGCACTCTCTGGAAAACTCTCCTTTTGCAAAGGAAGCATGCCCACGGATGCATTCGTGGCGGCTGAAAAACCACGACGCAGCTCACTTTGGGAGACTTCTCGGCATCTCCCTCTAAGTCCATCCCTCCAGATGGAAACTGCAAACCAACACATTAAATAATACACAACGGTTTTCTAAGGCTGTAGGTAGAGCCAAGATACTTCAAAGGAGATGGCCATCTGTTGGGAGGGCTTTAACTGTGTTATTACTGCATAAAGGAAGGAGGGAGTTGGACTAGATGCCCTTTGGGGTCTTATCCAACTCAATAATGCTATGGTATGGATTTTAAGGGGGCCCCCGGTGGCACAGTGACTTAAAGCACTGAGCTGCTGAGCTTGTTGATCGAAAGGTCGCAGGTTCGATTCCGGGGAGCGGCGTGAGCTTCCGCTGTCAGCCCTAGCTTCTGCCAACCTAGCAGTTCAAAAACATGCAAATGTGAGTAGATCAATAGGTACCGCTCCAGCTGGAAGGTAACGGCGCTCCATGCAGTCATGCTGGCCACATGACCTTGGAGGTGTCTATGGACAACGCTGGCTCTTCGGCTTAGAAATGGAGAGGAGCACCACACCCCAGAGTTGGACATGACTGGACTTAATGTCAGGGGAATACCTTTACCTTTACCTATGGATTTTAAACAGAGGCTGAATGGCTATCTATTGGGAGGGCTTTGATGGTGTTATTCCTGCATGAAGGCAGGAGGGGATTAGACTAGATTCCCTTTGAGGGTCTCATCCATGCAGCCTCTGTTAAAATCCATATCATAGAATCACTGAGTTGGAAGGGACCCCAAAGGGCATCTAGTTCAATCCTCTTCTGCTTTCTTGCAAGAAAAGCACAATCAAAACCTTCCCGACAGATGGTCATGCAGCCTCTGTTTAAAATCCATATCACAGAACCATAGAATTGGAAGGGATCCCCAAAATGCATCCAGTTCAACCCCCTTCTGCCTTCATGCAGGAAAAACACAAACAAAACCCTCCCGACAGATGGCCATGCAGCTTCTGGTTAAAATCAATATCACAGAATCAGAATTGGAAGGGATCGCCACAGTGCATCTAGTCCAACTCTCTTCTGTTTTCATGCAGGAAAAGCACAATCAAAACCTTCCCAACAGATGGCCATCCAGCCTCTGTTTAAAACCCATATCGCAGAATCATAGGATTGGAAGAGACCCCCCCCCCCCCGGGCATCTAATCCAATCCTCTTCTGCCTTCATGCATAAAAAGCACAAACAAAACCCTCCCGACAGACGGCCACACAGCCTGTGGTTAAAATCCATATCACAGAATCATAGGATTGGAAGGGATCCCCAAAATGCATCCAGTTCAACCCCCTTCTGCCTTCATGCAGGAAAAGCATAATCAAAACCTTCCCGACGGATGGCCATCCAGCTTCTGTTTCAAAGCCTCTAAAGGAGGAGCCTCCTCTACACTTGGAGGCAGAGAATTCCACTGTTGAATAAGCATAGGCTGGATGGCCATCTGTCGAGAGTGCTTTGATTGTGTTTTCTTGCATGGCAGATACGTTTGCACAGCACCCTGGTGCCTATACGGCTCAAAGGACGCTTTTAAAACATTGTTACCAAATAAGAAGAGATTTGGTTAAATTGTCCATATTGCTATTACTTGTATTCATTTTAAATACGTTTGTCTCTATTGAGCAAAAGTTGATGCAACAACAAGAACAACTTTGTAAGAACAAAGTCCAAGCTGGTTTTTGTCTCTTTGTCTGCAAAGCTATGTTTGCTCCATTTCCTTCTCTATTGTCGGCAGCACCTTCACCAAGTTTGGTCTCTTTATCAGTGCCAAATAGCGGTGCAACTGATGTGGTCGAGGAATGCAACCTTACACACCCAAGAAACCCATTTGCTCTCCAAGGCCTTGCAAGTTGCAAAACTTCAGCCTGATGTACATAAAATAAACAACCGAAGTATGGAAGAGAATAACATAAGTTTTGCAATTTTGGGTTCTTACAAACATGAACTGAAGTTGATGCAATTGAGAGGGAAGAATATAAAGGTAACTACAATACAAAAATCTGATTTAGTTCCACAGTGTACATGCGCCCTTTCTTAATGCACATTGGAGGGGAATGAGCCCTCCTGCACTGGAACCCTTCCTATATCCAAGTGTTGTTATGAACTCTCTGAAGGGGGAAACATTGCAGATGCTGAGCACCGGAAGTGAATGGCAATCGTCATGCTTCCGCTCCTGACGAAGGGGTGCAGGGCAAGCCACACTGGCTGGGAAATACATCCAATTACGAGAGGCCAATTATAGACATTCCCACTGAGAAAGTTAATGCCGTGCTGGGTTTTCGATCTCCGGAGGAGCAGCAACCAAGGGTTTGCCCTTGGACCAAAAGTTTCCAGAAATAGATGGATGGATGGATGGATGGATGGGTGGGTGGGTGGGTAGGTAGGGGTAGGTAGGTAGGTAGGTAGGTAGATAGATAGATAGATAGATAGATAGATAGGCATACAGACAGAAAAAATAGATGAAAAGGTAGGTAGGTAGGTAGGTAGGTAGGTAGGAAAGAAAAATAAATACAAAGATAGATAAATAGAAAGGTAGATTGATAGTTAGATTAGAAGATAGGGATTAAAATAGAAAGATAGAAAGATAGAGAGAGAGAGAGAGAGAGAGAGAGATAGAGATAGAAAGACATAACTAGGTAGATAAGATAAATAGAAAGATAGATAAATAGAAAGATAGATTGATCAATAGATAGATAAGGAGATAGACAGACAGACAGACAGACAGACAGACAGACAGACAGATAGATAGATAGATAGACCGACAGAGATAATAATAGAGAGATGGACAGAAAGACATGATAGAAATATAGGTAGATAGATAAGAAAGAAAAATAGATTAAAAGATAGATAGGTAGATGGACAGATAGATAGGAAAGAAAAATAAATATAAAGATAGATAAATAGATAAATAGAAAGGTAGATAGATAGATAGATAGATAGATAGATAGATAGATAGATAGATAAGAAGATAGGGATAAAAATAGAAAGATAGAAACATAGATACCTATAGATAGATAGATAGATAGATAGATAGATAGATAGATAGATAGATAGATAGATAGATAGTAGGCAGAGATAATTATAGAGAGATAGACAGAAAGACATGATGAAAATATAAGTAGAAAGATAGATAAGAAAGAAAAATAGATTAAAAGATAGGTAGGTAAGTAGCTAGGTAGATGGATGGATGGATAGATAGGAAAGAAAAATAAATACAAAGATAGATAAATAGAATGCTAGATTGATAGATAGATAAGAATATGGGGGTAAAAATAGAAAGATAGAAACATAGCTAGATAGATGATAGATAGATAGATAGATAGATAGATAGATAGATAGATAGGGAGATAGGGAGATAGATAGATTGACATAAATAAAAACAGAAACACAGATAGATAGATAGATAGATAGATAGATAGATAGATAGATAGATAGATAGATAGATAGAGAGATAGAGAGATAGGCAGAGATAACAATAGAGAGATAGATAGAAAGACATGATAGAAATATAGGTAGAAAGATTGATAAGAAAGAAAAATAGATTAAAAGATAGGTAGGTAGGTAGTTAGGTAAGTGGATGGATAGATAGGGAAAAAATACAAAGATACATAAATAGAAAGGTAGATTGATAGATAAGAATATAGGGATAAAAATAGAAAGAAACATAGCTAAATAGATGATAGATAGATAGAAAGTTTGCCCATGCCTGTCCTAGAGGATGCCAAGTATCCTGTTCCTTGGTAATTGGGTGTGTTTTAGGGATGAGAGGGCTGGTGCCTCACCCTCAATCTCAAAGCCACCCAGGATCAAAGGAAAGGCTTCCAGAAGCAAGGCTTTCCGATGCTCCCGATCCTTCTTTCCAAAGCTCTGCCCAACATTGAACTCTTTGGAAAACATAGGAAGCTTTCAATTGCAGGAACAATACAAATGTGAATATTAGTTGCAAGCCAGCAATGCTCTGTTTAGCAAACTCACTTCACTTGCGAGACGGACTCCTTGGGTGCACGCTCGGTTTAGTTGCAACCAGAACTTCCTGCCTTGTACTAAAAGGAAAACACTCTTTGCATAACATTGGAATATATATATTGCTGTGTGCTTTCAAGTTGTTTCAGACTCACGACAACTTCATGGTGAAACTATCCTTCTCGGCAGAGTTTGTTCCTAAGCTGAGAGAGTGTGACATTCCTGAAGCCAACCAAAGAGTTTCCAAAACTGAGTGGGGATCTAAATCTATTGGAAAATCCAAGATTCCAGCATTTTCAATACTCCCTTACTCTATGTTGCACCTTGTGAAAGGCATAAGGCTTCGGATTGCTTTCTGTTTTTCCCACGGCGTTTGCAGAGAAAGTCAAAAATACCTTTGGGAGCACGATGCCTTGATACGTGATCTCCCCACGTCTAGCAGCGAAGCACAGGCCACATCATCCCTTTCCCACAACTCCTGCCTTTGGCGTCCAAGAACAATCCACGCCATCTGGATTCACACTTTCTGACAGCTCTGAGCTCACTCGCTTTGAAGCCGTTCGCAACGGGCACCGAGAATGACAAGGCCATATTCCCCCATCCCCGCTTAGCGTTCTCTCATAAAGCCAGCCCAGAAGACAGACATTGCAAGATGGGTTGTTTTGGATCTTCCATGCTGTGTGGCCATGTTCCAGCAGCAGTCTCTCCTGATGTTTTGCCTGCATCTATGGATGACATCTGCAGAAATTCTGTTGGCAATGAAGAATGTGCAGTGTATTATACCTGGGGAATAATGCCCAAGGTGGGAGAAGGAAACCTTGTCTGTTTGAAGCAAGTGTGCATGCTGCAATTAGCAAGCTTGTATAGCATTGAGTAGCCGTGAAGCAG